TGCAAAAAATTGTGGCAAAAAATAAAATCTTCCATGGACTCAATGAAAAAAGAAAAGAGAAGGGTGGGACTTTGTAGGTACCAAACAACACCATTAATATAAAAAAGTACTACATTTATTAGCCAAAATGACAAATTACACATAACATATATAATGGGCCAGTTTGAGCTAGATTATGACTACATAGGTGAGTCAATTGCATTCCATCTGTTGAGAAGTTTCCAGATGGTTTTAAAGACCTTGAAATCTCAATGCATATCAGCTCTTAACCAGCCTTCATCAAGAGGGAGAACATGGTGAAGAATGAAAACACATATGGACAAACACCACATGTAAACATAAACAATAAGGCCATTCATGTAACATGGGCTACTTAAACATACCCAAAAACAGGGGTAAATAAAAAACACACATAGATGGATGCATGTCCTATATGGTAGATCTCCAATGGGATCAGGTAAGATGCAAAGAGGATAAACCAGCCAGTTGGTGCACAATGTAGATGTAACAAGCCTAAACAAAAGAGATATAGTAGTAATATTATGGCCACTGATAGGGGGCCCATATATAAAAAATACAGTAACAACCTATTGGTTACCTACCAAGATCAGAATATGGTGAATATTGAATTTAAGGGTCCTAATTGTCTCGATGGATACACACCAATCCTAGTGCTTCATACGCCCAGACAAATCAATAGGCAGGGTCTCATAGAGCAAATTCTAAAGAGGGGACACAGTCACTGACCAAAAGAACCCCAACAAGCTCAAAAACTGACAAATTCATTTATGGTGGTGTTTCCATATTTATCAAAGCAAGATGTCACAGGATATCACTCCAAGAGTCACAAAAAGAGGGGTCATACTGATTCCAAATCAGTGGTAGTACTCCATACAACCGTCATATAACACCACACACGGCCTATAATCCATTAGCAAGGAAATTAGGACATACACCTAGTAAAGAAGCATACAAAACAATATAGGATTATCCACAATAGCTTAAAAAGGTATTAACTGCCAAATATATAAAGATCCGAGCCATTCAAGCTTCCAAAAAACAACCTGCTAAGGATGCGGTTTGCAGAAGTAAAGCTACCCGGATTGCCTCGATAGTTCCCAACAAATCCGCAGAGTGCACAGCACTGAATACCTCCAAATTTGCCTCCAGTCAAAAAAGACCCAAGTACTGGTCAGATGCTGCTGATCAGCCAATCTACCATGACTGGTACTCTAATTATTGATTATTGAAACCAGCTGGATAACTAGGAAGAGGGGGTCAACATACAGGGCCGACCCTTCCCTCCTCCCTCAAAATGGGGCACAATGACCAGCCCAAAAAAAACGGCCAACGAGATCACTATAGGTAGTGAATGAAGAGACCACATCAATTCCGGTGCACCTGAACATAGACTGAACATTACAAACAAATGGCAACTGCCCCAATCTATAACTGGCCTTTGTAGCAAGGAGCACATGAAAGGGCGCTGCATATCAATCAACAACAGAGAAAATTTCCCAGCTCAACTTACCAACCAGCTTGCAACTAAAGAAATTGTCCTGTCTAACAGTCCACGTTAAAAGCAGGGGTTTAGTTTGCATACATTTGCAAATAGATGCGTAAGCTGCAAAGCCTTTTCACGGCCAAATATTCTGCAGTTCTGCCCTATGTGAATGAGTATGGGGTACAAAATACCCCTACTCATTCACTAAAAAAGTGTAAAAAGGTAGAAAAAACCACAACACCAGTTTTTGACAAGTTCTTTATAAAAATAAATAAATAAATATCCTCCAAAGCAGATCCAACATCAATCACGATGAACACCAGGCATTGACCTGAAAAAAAAAAAAAAAGAGCTCTGAACTTGATGAAGGCTCCCGCCTTCTGACAGCTACACAATCTGCCATTTTGTAAACAACAAAAGGGCAGGGCCACCCAATGATGCCACCAGGTGACCTCCCCCCTTGTGACATCATTGACCCAGCATGCCCTGGTACGATGCACCCCATACTCATTCACACAGGGGGCCAGGATCTGGGGGCCCCCTCTTTAAAGGGGGCTACCAGATTCTGATAAGCCCCCAAACCACCCAGGGTTGTGGGGAAAAGACTCTTATCCCCATCAACATGGGGACAAAGCACCCCCCCATGTTGAGGGCATGTGGCCTGGTATGGTTCAGGAGGGGAGGGGTTCTCGCTCCCCCCCCCCCCTTTCCTGACCTTTCCGGGCTGCATACTAGGATAAAGGTCTGGTACGGATTTTGAGGGGACCCCACGCTGTTTTTTATATTTAATTTTGGTGTGGGGTTACCCTTAAAATCCATTCCAGACCCAAAGGGCCTGGTATATATGGGGGGGACCCCACGCCATTTTTTTCATAATTTTCTTTTTTTTTACATTCAGCTGTCAGAGGGGAACCACGGACAGCTGATGAGTCTTCGGTTGTTAAAGACACGGTGCCCGGCTTCCCAGCCCTCTCTCTATCAACCAGCTATTCTTCATGCAGAATTCGAATTGGTTGATAAAATTTTGATCAATTCAAATTGTTCTATAAATTTGAAATGCGTTAGTACGAATAAACGAAAAAACAAATTTTAATGTAATTAGTTACTATTGTTATTTAGAAACTCAAATGCATATGGTCCTCCGAATAACCAAACATTTGTCCGAATTTAGATTTGAACCAAAACAAATTACAGATTCTAGGGGAAAAACTGTGGAGCAGCTGGTGGTTCCTCATTCTTTCACAAAGACCGTTTTGGATCTAGACCATTCTCATATGCTGGATGGTCATTTAGGAGTAGAAAAAAAAAACAATAGAGTGGATTGAGCAGCATTTTTCTGGAGGAAATCAGTGATGTCAACTACCAAGAATTCCAGCCTGTAAAAAGAAAGCCTCTCCAAATATAAGATATCAAACTATTAGAACCTTGAAAGGATCATGAAGCTTTCTCAACAGAAAGCAACTCTAAAGTATCGCAAGTCGAAAGTACATCAGAAGATAGGATGTCAGTGACCCTATTTGTTACTTAGACTCAGGCGGTGAGAAAGTTCTGTGCAAAAAAAAACAATTGAAAGTTGTTTTCAGAATTATCTGGATGAACTAAGGTAATTTATCAAGAGATTGTGAGTAAAGTTAAAACAGTATCAGGTACCTGAAACTCAAAGAAATCTTAGCTCTTAGAATTATAGAGGAATCAAACATTGAGTGGTCAAGTCCCACAATGCTCATCCCTAAGCCATTTGTCAGCTTGAGGTTTTGGAAAAATGACAGGGAATTAAATTAAGGCTCCATGCACACTAGCTTATTTGTAAGTTTCTATGTGTCCATGCACACTATTGTAGGCTAGAAGCGTTTTTCAAGCTTCAGCTTCTAGGAGCAGAAAAAAAAAATCTTTTTTTTTTTGTGTTTTTGGATGCAATTTGCCAGCAGAAAAGAAAAAAGCTGAACGCTCCTAAAATGCTCTTACAATGTTCCTAACAGCTTTTTTCTAGCTCTTTATCCCCCTACATGTACTGTATAAATGCTAATAAGACAAGAACGCTGCTAAATGCTCCTAAAACACTACTAAAAAATGCTATTACCAGTGTTTTTATCCATCATTTTCTGAGCTTAAAAAAAACACTAGTGTGCATGGAGCCTAATTATCCAAATGTGATGTTTATCCCATGCCTTAGGTGGATTTGTTGATAGAAAGGTTGTGTACATTGTTACCCTTGACCGTACTAAAGGGTATTGCCAGGTTCTCTTAACAGACAGATTTAAGGAAAAAGACAACTTTTGTGACACCAGATGATCTTTCATTTTCATTTTGGCTTACATGAGGGCTCGTCCTCATTTCAAATAATGATGGGCAGTATTCTTAAGCCCCACAAAGTGTATGCGTTAGCATATCTAGATGATGTTGTCAATTTCAATTCAAGTCAACTTGAATTCCCACCTTTTGAAGGTCCGTGTAGTTTTAGATTTCATTTGTAAGGCTGGGTTAACAGCTAATCCAACAAAATCTGCAATACACCATAAAGAAGCTTGATATTTGGGCTACAGCAGGGGGTCATAAGGCTGGGTACTGATGAATCAAAATTTGGCCAGTTCAGCAGGGTCCAACCAAATTTTGATCTGTGTATGGCCCTCCCTGTTCTTTAGAAGCCAATCATTATATTGACTTCTGTCAAAAGATAATGCTGGAAACTTTCATCAATCAGACTCTGCAGCCACTGATCAGTGTATTCTGACAGTGGAGAGTCTTCCGGAGGGGGGATTTCTCCATCCACATTGCTTGCGTGGATGAGGGAATCAGTTATTTTTTTTTGCTCAGTGCATCGGTCTATACCCAGCCTGATATACAACATAGATGCAATCATAATTGCATTGAATAGATAGGAATGGGTGAAACTGACCAAACTACTGATGCCTATTAGATTACATAATCATATTTAAACACCTTGCACAACTGCTGTAACAAGAAATTGAACACACAACTGTGAAAATGGAGCTCGTTGGTCCAAAGTCTATCTGGCAGTATATTTTTTCAGTTGGGTTTTTAATGTTTCCACGAAAAGAAAATTGACCAGAGAAATTACTGGCAGCAGCAAAGGCATGGTTTTGTTCATTTTCTTTTTTTTTAGTTTTCATGTATAAGCCTATTGGTGTCAGATAATTTTAAAGTTTCATAAATTCTTTATGGTCTATCATACCTTGAAGAAGATTGTTATAGTTAAGTTTAAAGTGTTACTAAACCTAGGACACTGTATTCACTGTATCTTGTCTCCCACAGTACATAAAACATGGAAATGCAATTACTTTAGTAAATACAGACTCCTAAATACCTTTTTTCATCAGCAGCCGAACACTGGTTAATTTTGTAGGAGTTTTCATTCTCATCTGACTGTTCTGTGAGGCTGCATGACCCTCGGTCTGGACAGCGCTGATTGTCCCTGTGCTGATCACATGCACACTCCCAAAGAAAAAAAAATTCTCTAGCAATACACACTAAACTGAGCATGTGCAAAGTGACTTCTAGAGTTCTACAGATGGATTGGGGACAGTAGAAGAAGGGGAGGATCAGAGAAGACAGAATAAAACAACCTTTTTTACATAATGTAGAGGATTAACCCCTTAGGTTCCACAGTGAGTATAATATGCATGCTTTACTGCATATCCAGACTAATTTTACTGTTGTGGGTTTAGCAACACATTAACTGTAGCAAAGTGTCTCAAAGTGTTCTGGATTTAAACATCTCCCAGGCCCATCCTCCTTCTTTTGTGACCTCAGTTAATCCATCCACTCCAAGTTTTGTACCTTTCCTTTGCAGGCCATTTAGGATCACCTGGAGTCAGTGCTATGCACCTTGGGTAGAACATGTCATGTCAGTTAGAGCTAAAAAGTTGGTGAAAACAGCAAAACTGTGTTTGTGGAGGCTAACAAGTGGGATGCTTGGGCAGCCTGATAGTTAGGATTGCCTTTAAGGGCTCATGTACACGGGGCATTTGGAAAACTCTTCTGAATGATGGAAACTGACTGCTGGAAAACGTAGGTTAAAAAAACATCAGTTTAGACACGTTTGCATAGCGCGTTTATGCTCATTTGCATTTAGAAACGTTTTTAAAAGAACCTCAGGAGACCTTCCCAAATGCCCAGAATGCACTGAAAAATAGTAAACAAATTAACAATTTCAGACATTTTGAGAGAAATGGAGAGCAGAAGCAGAGAGAGCATGTGTTGAGATTACCTGTCTTTTCTGGTTGTATTCACTATGGATCCCATCAAGAGCATAATGCTGCACGTTCTACCATTTTTTTCTTCACGCGAAACCTGGAACTGACTGTGCTGGTGTACTAGGTCCATTTAAATAGCTAAAAACATAAAATATGCAACGCTAAACCAATTATAAACAAATAAAATGTATATCAAATAAAAAATGCATATTATGCACATAAACAGTAAAGGGATTGGTACGGAAACCAATGGTTGAAATTATGCTAAGGAATCGTAAAAACAAAGCATGGTGCGTATAGTGACAATAGTGCCAAAGTCAATACATCAATGGATTTTTCAAAGTGACATAAGAAATCCGTGACATCTGTGGTATAAAATGTGGCTGTTGATTGCACTAACCAGATAGCACAAATGATAGCGCATTGGAGTAAAATGACCTACTCTTGGTCACTGGATCAGGGACACTGCTGGAAGAATGGTCATCAATTCAGCAACCTCCAGAAGCAGTGAGAGCAGTATGTGTTGAGATGACCTGTCTTTTCTGGTTGTATTCACTATGGATCCCATCATGAGCATAATGCTGCACGTTTCTACCATTTTTTACTTCACGCGAAACCTGGAAATGACTGTGCTGGTGTACTAGGTCCATTTAAATACCTGAAAAACACTTTGCATGCATTTCTGATGATGAAAAAAGGCTCTGGACACCATCTGGATATGAAACAGTTAAAAAACGCTTCTAAATGCAAACATTTACAAACGCGGTTAACCACGTTTACAAGCGCTTGGCGTTTGAAACGCTGGTAAAATCTAATCCTGAACGCAAGTTTGGTGCGTTCAAAAAAACAACTGTAAACTCAACTGCCTGTAAACGACTGTAAACGAAGATGTGTTCATGGACACAGGGCAAATTCAGGGGCTGCTGAAAAAAATGCAGAAAAGCTCCTGAACGTCAGTTTATCAGCTGCAGTGTACATGAGCCCTTATTGTATATGGTTTTGTTTTTGAAGTTTTGAACAATTGTTTGTTTGTTTGTTTTTTTGGAACACTGTACAGCATCTGTAAATAGTCTGTATAAAACACCAATAAACACCCCACTGCTTGTCCCTATACTACTAGACTGATATCAGTGCCTGAAAAGGTTGCTTACCCCAGGGGGGAAAATACCCGCTACTTAGTGTACCAAGCTCACACTGGAAAACAAACTTTAGCAACTCCCATTTTGTATTAAAAAGGGTGCTGGAATGCATATCTTTTTGCAGGTTTGGGCATCTTCCCAGAAATGTTCCTTATGTCTCCTTCTTGAGTCCATAACAGGGGATAGGTCTTCAACGCAGACACCTTTACTAACTGGCAGCTCAGGCAGAAGAATTCAGTCAGTGGCTCTGCCTGAACAAATATCCCATCCCCTTGCTTCAGCTTCAAAAACACCAGTGCAAAAGTAGGGGTAAGGATCAGGAGTCCATTTTTCAACTGTATTCATCTCTACTAATCACAGGTCATGTTGCAATTTTGTCCTATTAGCTCAAAGCACAAGCAAATACAAGATAACAGGTTCTGGGTGTCACAAGCTGTTCTCTCTAGTTTCTAGTATGCTGTCAAGGTTGAATTATTATGGAGGCCAAACAGTCTGTTTGCAAGTGATCTGAGAGATTTAAACACCCTTTTTGAAATTTTTTTTGTAGGGGGTCCACAACAGAGTAATAATAATTGTTTTTGAGCATTTTAAGTGCTCATTATAACACATATGGTCTTACTTCTAAAGTATGTTAGGAGAAGCATGTTAATTCTTAAAGCATAACTCCACTTTCGTGGAAATAAATATAGCAAATAAAAAAAGTAGATCTATATGGGGGTGTTGGTGTTTCATTTATATATATATATATATATATATATATATATATATACACACACATATATATATCATATACAATTGCTATACAAGCCATTTTGCAATCTATTGTTATTAAAAATTACATTATCTTTTCAGTGTGTGTAACTGTTATTTTCTGCAAAATTCTATGCAATGTGGCAGTCTGGAGGCATTCTGTATATGTAGGTGTACAGAACACCTCCAGAGATGTAATTTCCTGTTTGTGACATTGGTTCACTGATTTCCCCAGACGTCTGCATTAAAGTGTATGTAAACCCTTCCCTTGTAAAACAACCCATTCAGTTTAAAATAGTAATGGAAGGTAAAGCATTTGTGTATACATCTAAAAAAAAATCTAAATACATGTTTTCTCCTTTTTTATTAGTTATCACATACCCTCTGTTCTCAGCTGCATAGAAAAGTGAGGTTGGAGAAACAACAGCACACTGGTCTTCCCAGTGAATGGCTGTGTCGGAGGGTGTCAGCACAAGTTTGATCATTGGGAGAGTGCACGCACACTCAGCACAGCTAGAGAAATGACCATGTTGTACTCTCATGCCTAGTGTAGTTAGGTTTTAATAGGAAAGCAGAGTGACTGGCAGGACCACCAGGAAGTTTACACAAAGGAAGCAATACAAAGAGAACATGAAACTTTATCATACAAGTACATGGTACAGCAGACACTTATCAGGAATATGAAATGTTGGGTGTACATATTTTTTAACCCCTTGGTACTGATGTCCCACAAATATGCGGCCTCAGAGAACTGGGCTTTTTTCTGTGGGGCCACATATTTGCATACCTGTCTTTGTGCTGAGAGCGCGCCACACAGCATGGGGTGTCACTGAGATCCCCGGGTCCTGTTCTAACAATCCCGATTCCGGGTCACATGATTGCTGTGATAGCCTCTGATTGGCTACTGCTGTGATCAGTCACTGTAAAGCCTGCCCCTCTTGTTTTTTTTCTCTCTGAATGGAGGAGATAGATACATTGTATCTCTCTCTCTCTCTCTTTGCATAGAGGGAAAAAAATAACTGCTTGTAAAAAAAAAGATTAATAAATAAATATTATAAAATAAAAAATACCTAGATCAAGGTTTGATCTAGTTCAGTGCCAGGGTTAGTGTCTGGGTCAAGGTCAGGTTCAAAGGTCAGGATTTATTTATTTATTTAAATTGGTATCAGTGTCAGTTAGTGTCAATGTGTTTTAGGTTAAAAAAACAAAAAACAAAATGCGCACTATTGTTTCTGGGCTGTAGTACAGGTACAAAATAACATACACATATTGTATCAGATAAGAAAATATATAAAATGAGCGCTCCTAGATAAGCAGCTATAGCACTAAAGGTAATCGCAGTATACCTATAAAATGACACAGTAAAACAAAGTGCAGCACTGAAATGTATAAAATACAAAGGAAATAGTCCGTGACTAATATATAAATGAATATATCCAAATCCCAGGATAGCCAATTTAAAGCAGGAACCGATGGTAAAAATGCGCACTCACCGGACGCGCATAGATAATGCGCATATAATTAATATCCACTGGAATCCTTATAGTAGATGAAAAGGATGAGATTCCCTCTATGGATCATTCAGCCTGGGATATTATATTACTGGGTCCGGAGGTCCCCTTAAGGATGGTATGGTGCTCAGCCAAGATCCAAAGCTCTGTCCCTCTGGTGGTGGTGGATCAGACTACAGGTGTCCCTATTTAAAATGGCCGCCGGGCTATCTCGTGGCTCCGGGCGGGTAATGACGTCATGCTCTGTCGGTTTCTCCTGAGGCCTTTCGTGCCCAAGCACATCATCAGAGGGGATACCAACAGAAGCATGACTGACGTTCATTTGATTTATAATGTATAGTGATGCTCGCACATGCGCCACCATTTTGCCAAAGAACACGGAGTGCGCATGTGCGACTTCATAGGCGTCATTTTGCCGTGAATAAAAGGTCATATACTTCCCATAAAGGGAAAATAGGTGTTAGTACTGCTATTAATGCACCAAATAAGCTTGCCTTTATGACAGCTGTATACCCACCCAATTCATATACCCACTTAGTTTCAGCTTGTGACACCGCACGCGTTTTATTTATACCTCTCCAATGTGGAGTAATAATATCAATGGCGTAAACTTAAGAGAGGCAGGATCTTTATTATGATAAATTCTATAGTGATTCGATAGGGAATGCTCCCTGTATCCTTTCTTAATATTGGATACATGTGAATTGAATGCGTTTATCCTGCGTTTTCTGGTGTTATCACATTTACAAATGACACATCTGTTGCAGGGGTGAAAACTCTTTAGGTCAGTGAACAATGTGATGTTTTTAGGGGGGTCAGCCCCTACCGAATCACCATAGAATTTATCATAATAAAGATCCTGCCTCTCTTAAGTTTACGGCCATTGATATTATTACTCCACATTGGAGAGGTATAAATAAACGCGTGCGGTGTCACAAGCTGAAACTAAGTGTATTTATGAACACAGCACTTTACACCCCTTAG